ATGAATTGGGGGGGGGCGGGGGGCACAAACATACAATCTGTAGCAGCTAATCAAAAAATACCTTAAAAGTTTTCTTAAACACCTGGTGGCATTGCCACTCTTTCCTTCAAAAATAGTTGTCAATTCAAGAATTCCTAAGTCCACGTATACCTAAATTGAGCCTCTGTGTTCTTTCTACTAAAAACATATAAACTAGAAGATGAATACCTATTTTGCTTGCCCTCATGTTGACCTTCAGAATCCCAACTTCATCCAGAAAATGGGTTTCTCAGAAAAGTGGCTAAAATGAAGGGAAGTTAAAGCAGTACCACCTTCAGGTGGGTGAGTTAGAAGAATACCTGGAAAGGAAGGAAGAAGAGAGAATTCACCTGCATTTTGAAAGGAAAAACACTGTCTACAGGTAGAATAACTGTAGGTATACAGAAGTGAGCGTTTTTATACATTGCTAATTTAAACATGCTATGAGAAATTTTCACAATATGTATCAAACTTTTCAGTGGGCATTTATTTCAGACAAAAAGTTCTATTTGGAAATCTATTTTGAGGAAATAATAATGGATCCGTGCAAAGATGAAACTATTAAATTGAGGATTGGCTAAATTATGATACATCTATATAACACGATACTTTGCAGGCAATTAAAATTATTGTAGGAAGAATATTTAAATGACAAGGAAACAATGTTGATATATATCCTTAAGTAGAAATATGTTATAAAATGTTGTGAACAGTATGAACATGATCATACATTTGTTTAAGAATACTCATATGAATACCTACATACATACAAAGACTAAAAAATATTATACTTTTGTGTTCATCTATATTTTCTGTACTGTTTTTTGTTTTTTACAGTTTTCCACAAGGAACACGTATTATTTTTTTAATGAGAAGAAAAACGGTCTTCATTATTTTTAAAAAGCACACAAGGTTCAATTTCATCTTATGTGCTTGAAAAGGAACTGGTAACGTGACTTTAAGTTAAAAAGGATAAAGATTTCCCCCTACTTCCCCTACTGTCATACTTCCTGATGGATAGCAGTGTTCAAATGCTGTCTGAGGTTCTCTCTTGCTTCTGAGGAGGAAGTTCAACTACCTGGTATGTGCTTGAAAAGGAACTGGTAACGTGACTTTAAGTTAAAAAGGATAAAGATTTCCCCCTTCTTCCCCTACTGTCATACTTCCTGATGGACAGCAGTATTCAAATGCTGTCTGAGGTTCTCTCTTGCTTCTGAGGAGGAAGTTCAACTACCTGGGATTGGCCTCAATGGGCCACAGGAGACACTCGGGTCACTCCTCAGAACTCATGATGAGTGTGTCCCTCTTCTCCCAAATTTCTTTCTCTTTGCCTTCCTTTCCCAGAGAGCCTCTCTTCTAAGGATTTTTACATGTCGCCTCCATTCAGCCTTCCCTCGGGCACATTCACATGCATGCACACACGTGCGCACACACGCACATGCAGTTCTCTGGCTGGTTGGGAACTGGCCATTTGGAAGCCTCCTGTGGAACAGAGGAAAGAGCACAAGAAGAGTTGGGGCACTCCTTATACCTCTATAAAAATTTATTCCTGAGACCAGACAAATGAGTGCACTTCTCCAGACCCACATTCCCTCCTCTAGAGAGCAGAGACTGTAGGATTGATGTGGTGAAATTTAAAGACAGCAAAACAAGTGACAAGTATCCAGGCAGTGTTTCTGAAAGGACCTTTCAGCAGGAGCTAAGGAAAGTATACAAATTACACATCTTATTTTCCCAATCTTAATATAAAGGAAAATTAATGAGGATACTTTATGTAGGATCAAAGTAAATATAGAGGTCAAAAGAGAGAAAGGATTTAAGTGAAATAATATTGATAAGATTTTTTGGTATTTTCTTCTTGTAGTTTTGCTGGTGACAGGAATACATTCTAATAAAGAAATGACAAAGAAGATTAAAAGGCCCAAGTTCGGTAAGTAAAAATCACATTGCTTCGCTGGCATAAGGCTTGTGTCTCTATTGTGGAGGTTGTTACACTTGTTTTAGATAATGTGAAAGGTGGTGTTTTGTTTTGTTTTGTTGTCTCTATCTCCATTACTTCACACTCAGACTAATCAGTAATGAGTCTTATTCATCACCTACCTCATTCCAAAAAGCACTTGAGGTAGCAGTCCTGATTTTAGGGTAAAAAGGTATGTGGCTCCACTGAAATAGAAAAATTTAAAGACCAGGCAACACTATGTCTCTATGGCTAAACTGGAATGGGTGTCCCCCTGCCACTGAAATGGTGTTTCAATTCCACATAATATCAGAAAATTCAGACTGGCTAATGCAAAGGTCCAGCAAACCCGACCACCTTCCAGTATGTCCTGGGATCAGAATGTAAGTCTCACAGAAAAGCCCATGGATTTCAAACGCAATCAGTGGAAAGAGGAAAAAAATGTTCACTTTTGGGTGGATTCAGTTAAGATTAGATGAAGGAAAATCCAAAATAATAGTCTCTTTGTTAAGACTGAAGTTTCTTTCTCTCTCCTATAAACATAGTCAGCCTGAGCTTTTATGGGACCCAGACTTCTGTCTTGTAGTCCCACCATTCTCGACATGGCTCCCAACTCATTGTCCAACGTGGCTACCGCAGCTCCATCCATCACGTCCACATTCCAGTCAGTAGGAAGGGATGAAGAAGGGCACATACTCACTCCCTTTCCAGATACATCCAGAAAGTTGAATATGCCACTTCTACTTAAATGCCATTGGCCAGCAGTAAGGGAGAGTGGGAAATGTCTTGACTTCAAACACCCACGTGCCTCACTAAAAGTAGGGGATTCTATTACTAGGAAAGGAGGGAAGAATGGATATTGGGAAATAACTAGCAGGAAGGACACAGATGGAAAATCTCACACTCAAATATTGTGAGCACACTAGGCTATCTGGATCCAAATGTGTAGGCTTGACGGAGGCTTGAGTTAAGGTGTGTTTATAAAGGACCATAAAAGAAGGGCTTCAGATACAGTCAATGTTCTGTGCTCTACACTACTGAAACTTTCTTTATAGTATTAAATTTAAATGCCTTCAAATCAGCAACATTAATAATTTGAAATAAAAGAAAAAGACTTGCTTCACGCAACCATGCTTTTTTCTTCTGTTCCTCTAAACTCTCCATGCGGGATTTCCTGGTGAAATGTGACCAAAAGAGCAGCCATCCACAGCCTCCTAGACTGAAATACCGAAAAGGAATCAGTTGTTTATTTATTCCTGTCAGGACCAAGAGCCAAGAGGACCCACCCTGGGGCAGATGTGTGTTCAAAACAATGATTGGGTTAATATAGAGACAAATGCATGCCCAACTATGAATTCCTTTGGGTTGTTTCCTGTGTCTTCATTAACTCATACAAAAATCATGAAAGTTTCCATGATTACCATGACAACAGTTTTCAGTCACTATGAAAGTCTGTGCAAAATGACCCAAGGGCAAGCCTCTTTGAGAGATCTCAGATGGATTGAATTTCTGATATGCTAAATTCCAGCCTTATTCTCAAGTTCTCCCTAGAGATGCAGCACATTTCAATAAATAAATGCATGAGGTCTTTTCTCTAATTAGAAACTCTGGCACAGTCATTAAATAAGGAAAAAAAGATACAATGAAGGTAACTGGATATTCCCAAACCATGGAAATATCTGATTCTTGACCTCAGGAGTATTTCCAAATCATAGTCTATAGCTTGAGGCCAAAGTAATTTTTATTTTTTCTATTCAACATTGTCAGTCTGCTGCTGGGTAGTTGGCTATGGCAAGGAGTCTTCATTCATTTAACAAATATTTATTGGGTGCCAGCCAAGTTCCAGACATGATGTTAGCCACCCAAATACAACAATGATCAAGATTCAGTCTTTGCCCTCACAGAGTTCACAATCAAGAGAGAAAGAAAGACAGGTCAACAGGCAATCATAATGTGGGAGCTAAAGATACTCTAAGAGTATGAAGAAGCTGTGTGTCTGGGAGGACTTCCTGGAGGAAATGACACACCTACACTGATATCTGAAGGCCAAGTAGGGATTGGCCAGGCAAAGATGAGGAGAAAAAGTGTTACAGGCAAAGAGAACACATCATGTCCAACACCTGAAGAGTAGAAAGAGCTAAAAAGTAGTTCAATATTGCTGAAATATAGAGAAGGAGGTGAATGTGTTGTAAAAGATGAAAAGTAAGCAGGAAAGTAGTTCAATATTGCTGAAATATAGAGAAGGAGGTGAATGTGTTGTAAAAGATGAAAAGTAAGCAGGCACCAGATTGTGAAGGGCTTTACTACTGTGCGCAGGAATCTGGACTTCAGGAAGGCAAGGGGGAGTATCTCAGTGTGGGTTATTTTGGTTGCAATTAGCAGAAAGCCAAGGCCAATTTGCTTAAGCAAAAAAAGGGGATTTGGGCAGGACACAGGGTAGCTCACAGAACCCAAGGCAGAAACCAGCACTTCTCTCTATCTCTCTCTGTATCTCTCTGTCTCTGTCTCTGTCTCTCTCTCTCTCTCTGTCTCTCTCTCTCTCCCCGTCCCCCCCCCCTCTCTCTCTCCAGACCATGTCTTTCAGTCCTGGTCCCAAATTCCTGGGAGACAGAATCTAATTGCATCAACACAGGTTGGTACGTATCTATCCCTATGAGAGAAGTATGGTCCTCAGAGCAGGGTAGAATGGTTAGAGGTGTGTTAGGAAAATAAAACAATCCTAAGAACAACAACAACAACAAAACAATTCCTTTGTATCAACATATGAAGAAAGAAGACAGAGAACACAATTTGGTAGTGAGTAAGCGTTGCAGATTTACATGCATGTATAGGTAGCATGAAAGTGTCTACAAGTCAGGACAGAATTTTGCAGAAATCTATAAAGTAGAAGACAGAACAATTACAACTTTTCTTGTCTCCTGGAGAGAGAAATGGATGCACCTCGTGATCATCTTCTGCATAATTGGAGACCCCTGAGCTCATTCTGGTGTTAAGTGTTTACAGATCCAAGGCTGAGAAGGCTGGAAACGTTGCATTGTGAAATCAAAAGGTCAGCCTTCCATCAGACCATGTCTTCCAGGAGACACTGTGGGAGGAGAGGGTGGGGAGGCAGTGGCCTCCCTCCAACAAAGAAAGCTTGACCATCTTACCCTTACAGTTGATATCTCACAACATGTCTTACAGAGAGCCACTGAAAGGTCTTAAACAGGAAGTGAAATTATAAAATCAGGGCTTCAGCCAAATCATTTTGGCTTCAGCATGAGAGCAGACTAGGGCAGTGACTCCCCAAGTGCCAGACTAGTAGTCTTGGCTTCACCCAGGAATTTCTGTCCCACCCACCCCACATTTCCTGAGTCAGAAACTATAGAGGTGGGGTCCAGAAATCTGTGTTTTAACAAGCTCTCCAGGTGAATCTGATGCCTTGTAAAATTTAAGAACCAGTGGACTAGAGAGAGAACCAAAATCAGGGATGCTTACAGATATGAGTGTGAAACCATTTAGGTAGGTCCTATTTAGTGCTCTCTAACCTCTCTACAGCCCTCAAACTTCACCAGTATTTTCAGGACTTCACAACCCAAAGGACTAAAGGTAAAACAACAAGAGGAGGTAATTTGATAGTGTTGGCTAGTGGACAATTTCCTGATCCCTACTACACACGTGTCACTGTCCTAGACTTTTGAGGATCTAATGCCCATGGCATGGTGCCACTAGGTGGCAGAGATGGATTTGAAACTCAGGTCTGGGTGAGGTTCAACCCCAGAGGTTTTCCCAGTGGCCTCCTTCCAAGCCAGCTGGACTAAGAAATGAAGTGTCTTTGCCTGGGGGCAGATGAGGGTGTTGAATGATCAAGGGCCACCCAAATAAGAAGAGATGTGGAGAAAATAGAAAAAGGAGAAGAGCGTGAATGTCTTCCTTTGGCTTGGCTTGAGAACGTCTATCATAGCAATACATCTGTTCTGCCTACTCTTGAAGTTACCACTGCTTTAGGTAATTATCTCTCTCTCTCCTCCCTACTCTCCCTTCTTTTTCACTTCTTTTTCTTCTCATCCCCCCTTTTCTTCTTTCCATTGTTTTGGTCTCTCCTGGCCCCCAGTGGCCTTCATGGATATTGCTTAGCTCTGGTGGGGACCCTTTGGACCAAGAAGGTAGTATTTAAGAGCATGTTGAAAATAATCTGGAATTGGGATTTTACAAAAGGGAAAAGCAAAGAAGAAAAAAGCAATTGGACAGATTCTCACAGCTCTCCTCCCCAAGCATCCACATGACTGTTCATTTCAAGCTAGTATTTTGCTTTCCTACGCACAGTTGCGTTGAGTTCAATTTTATTCCACCACACTAGGCTTATCACATTACTTCATTTTCTAAATCAAATTAAGTCTGACTCCAAACTGCAAACTGCAGGGCCAGGAGGTGGGTGGGGGGGAGTGGAATTCAAATTCTATAGTTACAGGGGCTTCTTCCCTCCCTGTTCCAGCCCCTAGAATGCTTGTGCAGTCTAGAAGATTCAGGGAGGTCTCCTGAGCAGCTCAGTATTTATCTCTGGAAGGTGGACAGCTCCACTGTTTCCTGGAAGATGGGATCCTGGCAGAGGTGGGGAAGCCCCATACCTAAGGCTCCACCCTGGGGTGTATCACACTGGGTGCTGCTCTGAGGTGGTGCTCCTCCAGGACAGCTGCTAGGGAAAGGGACATTTTCCTTACTGAGACCTACCTGCCCACTCCCTGCTTCCTAGTCTTGGAGAGCCTAATTTTCAAAGCCTGGAGGGAGTGTTGTCTTTGGGCAATTGTGCTTTCTCTACTGCAACCTTGAGCTCCAGAGGCAGGAGAACACAAATGCCTGGCCACCTCCTTAGAATAATAAAAGGGAAAACATAAAATGAGAATAAACATAAGTTAATGACTTAATAAATCAACCTGCTGTATAGTCCAAGGTAAAGTTTACCTTACTGTACTAATGAGAGTTTTATCACTTTG